CGAGCCCCGCCCCCCGCCCAAGCCCGCGCCGCGCGCCCGTCTGCCCGCACCATGCTCAAGTGCATCCCGCTGTGGCGCTGCAACCGGCACGTGGAGTCGGTGGATAAGCGACACTGCTCGCTGCAGGCCGTGCCCGAGGAGATCTACCGCTACAGCCGCAGCCTGGAGGAGCTGCTCCTTGACGCCAACCAGCTGCGCGAACTGCCCAAGGTGAGCGTCCGCCTGGCCCAGCACTCTCCGGGTCGGCCCTCTTGCTCGCTGGAGTTCTCGCAGGCCCGGCCGGGCGGGGCACCTCCAGCCGGCCCTGCTGGTTCTTACTGGTCAGAGCTCCACCCCGGGTAGCCCCACCCTCCTCACCCCCTGCGGCACAGGTGGCCATGGTCATCAGGTGCCTACCTGGGGCGGGGATGGTCGCTGAGCCTGGAGGAGGAGCGCGGAGTGGAAGCGTGGGGGAGGTGGGCGGAGTGGGGGAGGTGGGCGGAGTGGGGCAGGTTGGAGTGGAAGGTGAGCCTGGCCAATGCGGAGGTACTAACTTCATGGGTTTCTCTGGAGATGGGGAGCCCAGCCTTCTCCCCCGACTGCTCTCCTCTCCCTCCTGGGTGCTCGGGTGGGTAGGGGAGCCCCCACTGCGCCGCTTGTGCCTGACAGGTCTGCACCTCGTCTACTCTGCTGCTTGCTGTTCCTCGGCTCAGCTTGCTTTCCTTCTCAGGCCACTCCAGCGGCCAGGCTAAAGGAAGCAAGTTACAAAAGGATTTCCTCTTTGGAGACAGGGTGCTAAGTGGACGGCCCAGTGCCTGGGGGCTGTTTGCCACAGAGGGCGTGGCTCTGCCCTGGACTTGGACGCCAGGACTGTGTCCTCTGTGTCCCTTGTGGTCTTCTCCAAGTCCCACACACTGCCTGCAGGCCCTGCATGCAGCCCCTCGTGCACTTGTGGTGCTTTATTGTTTTCGTTAAGTTTTTGGTGATTGTAAAGTCCTTGTGACAAATCTGGGCATGGCTAGTTTCTGGAGTGCAGTAGCAGAAACTGTTCTGTCCCAAATAAGATTTAAACGTGTAAGATCAGTCTCGTGGCAATTTGGCAGCAAGGAATGTGTCTGAGAGAACAGAAAGTGATCCCGCATCAATAATCGGAGTTAGGAGTATAGCAGGGGGTGTGTGTGCACATTTCCTCCTTGGTTTTCTTGCTGTAGACGGGTGACCTGGGAGGGCCCCGAGTTCCTGTGTGGCCAGGAGCAGATAGAGGCCAGGGGACCCCTGACCTGTGAGCTTGTGTCTGCTTTGGAGACTCCTTTGCTATAGGGCTTTGCCCCACAACCTCACCCTGCCCTCGCCCACGATCTCACCCCTGCCCACAGCCCTTCTTTCGCCTGCTGAATTTTTTTGAACCTGCGCAAGCTGGGCCTGAGCGACAACGAGATCCAGCGGTTGCCCCCTGAGGTGGCCAACTTTATGCAGCTGGTGGAGCTGGACGTGTCCCGGAACGGTGTGGAGCCCGGGGCGAGTCTAGGGTGGAGCCCGCGGGTGGCAGGAAGGGCTTTGCGCCCCTGGAGGCTGCGGGTGTCTCTCGTGCTGATCCCTCTTCTATCACAGACATTCCCGAGATCCCCGAGAGCATCAAGTTTTGCAAGGCCCTGGAGATTGCGGACTTCAGCGGGAACCCCTTGTCCAGGTGCGGGGTGGCCACGGGGGGCGAGGGGTTGGCAGCTCCCGCAGCTCTAGTCTGGAGTCTGAGGTCCCCTTCCCTTCGGCGTAGGCTTCCCGAAGGCTTCACTCAGTTGCGTAGCCTGGCGCACCTGGCCCTGAATGACGTGTCCCTGCAGGCGTTGCCCGGGGACGTGGGCAAGTAAGTGCCCTCTGGGGTTGGGGCTTCTGGTTCAGCCCCGCTCCCGCCCCTCTCCCCACCTCCCCTACCTCCCTCATGCCCCACCCTGATCTCTGTTGCAGCCTCGCCAACCTGGTGACCCTGGAGCTCCGGGAGAACCTGCTCAAGTCGCTGCCTGCGTGAGTGGGCTCAGGTGTCCCGCCAGTGGCCAGCTAGGGCTGCAGCCCTGGGGACCTCCAGCCGTGTGGTTGAAACAGAACTTGCTCTGTTTCCTGTGCAGGTCGCTGTCTTTCCTTGTCAAGCTGGAACAGCTGGATCTGGGAGGCAATGATCTGGAAGTGCTGGTGCGGAGGGGGCGAGGCTGGCGGGGCGGGGCCCGGTGGGGCCGGCGAGCCTTGGTCTCAGCCCCTTCTCTCTGTTCCTGCAGCCTGACACTCTGGGGGCTCTGCCAAACCTGCGAGAGCTGTGGCTTGACCGGAACCAGCTGTCGGCTCTGCCTCCGGTGAGTGAGGGTGTGGCCGCCCCCACCTCTTGCCCGGTGTGCCCTGACCTTCTGCGCCCACCCTCAGGAGCTTGGGAACCTGCGGCGGCTGGTGTGCCTGGATGTGTCGGAGAACCGGCTGGAGGCGCTACCCGCGGAGCTTGGGGGGCTGGCGCTGCTCACTGACCTGCTGCTGTCCCAAAACCTGCTGCAGCGGCTTCCCGACGGCATCGGTCAGTATTGGCCCTGGCCCCAGGGGTTGTGCCTAAGGCGGGGCCCAGGCCAAGGTCGGGGGTGTGAAGACCACGTGCCCGAGGAACCAAGGCAGCTTGTGGTGCAGAGTGGGGGCGTTTATTTTGGAGTGGGCAGAGCTAGCCACTCACCTGGAAGGCTGAAGAGTGAAGGACGCCGGAGGAGCGAGCATGGGTCTGGGGTGGGCGGGAGCTTTCTGCATTCTTGGGGTGCAGGAGGCGGGGTGAGGGACAGGCTGTCTCCACCGGTGGGTGGCCCATCCTTCATCCTCTCAGGCTTGTCTTCACATCATCCCAACACCAGGTCAGCTGAAGCAGCTGTCCATCCTGAAGGCAGACCAGAACCGTCTGTGTGAAGTGACCGAAGCCATCGGGGACTGTGAGAACCTGTCTGAGCTGATCCTCACAGAGAACCTGCTGACGGTGGGTGTGGGTGGTG